CACATGAAGGGACCCCCGAGGAATCAGCTAAGAGAGGAGGGAAGAGTGGTAGTGCCCAGTCCCAGATGGCCTCAGGGAGATGGAGACATCCCTTTTTTCCTCCTCAGACTCTCAAAGCAGAATCTGCAGGCAGACTCTCTGAACACAGAACAAACACCTCAAACTGGGAAGCAAGAAAGGTATAAAGACCTGACTTACAACCTGCTTGGAAACCCCAGGAGGATGGCAGAAGCCAGGCTGATCTTTGAGAACAAGACTTCCTGAAGGCAAAGGAAATGGGAACCATGGCCAGCTAGATGCTGAGAATTCCCCATCTCCCAGGTCTGGCTCCAGAAGGCCAGGAGGGGCCCTTATCTTACAGAGCCACACCCAAGGTGGTGGCACCTGGTGTGAGGGGTGTTGTGGGGTCGCAGGAGGAAAGATGGTGGGTGACATTTGAATATGCCCCAGCTTCTGGCCAGTGGCTTCTTCCCCAGGTAAATTTGCATAGTGGAGGAAGTGCTCCAGGGTGGCACTGCCAGCATTCTAGACAGAGAACAAAGGTGGCTAGTAGGAGAAGAGGGACCAAGGCAGCCCAGGAAAGGGCAGGGCACAGGGATCCCTCAGTGGAGCCCCACCCCAGGGAACCAGACAGGAACAGCAGGTATTTGAGTGTGGGATTACTCCAGAGCCACCAAGAGTCATGATGCTGGGAGTATAGGAGGGATTCAGAAAGGCCAGGCCATCGCCCTTGCTAGTCCATCACCCATACAGACCCTTCCACAGCACCCCCCATTCCATATGAACACAGGAAAATACAGAGGATGGCACAGGTGGCACCCTGTCTCAGCCTGGCCTGGCTGGGAAGCTGGAGAGGAAGAAGTATGGGGAGGGTGTGACCAGCAAGGCCAGATAGGGGGGTGGACTTGGGCTCTAGGAAGTCTCAGTAGTGTGGGCACCAAGAAATGCTGCTGATGATGGAAAGGATGAACACCTGGCAAAACCCAAGGCTCTGCTCCCCAGCCAGGCCAGGCCAATGGCGAGTGTACCTCAGGACATCTGGAAGAGCCAGGGCAGTCACACACAAAGACAGCTCCCTCAATGTTGTCAGAGTCACAGCAGTCACAGAAAGCAAAGCATGAAGGAGCAACCCAGAGACTGAGTGCACAGAACACAGGACAACCATCTGGGGAGAGAACAGAGTGCTGAGGTCCAGCTCAACCCTGTCCACTTAGCATCAACCTCCAGGCAGATGGAGATGCTCCTACTTGGAGCCAGCAGGTGGGGTCAGAGCTGGGTAATCCTGTAATTACAGAGTGTGCTCCTTGTCACACAGATGAGCACTTTAGGGGCATCTCAGTTACTCAGAACAGCACTACCCTCACCCCCTGCTCTACAAGTGTTCTTCAAACACTGTTGTTGAGTATAGATAGCTATGTGACTCTTGCCCTTGATTCAAAGTCACACTTTGTAGGAACAAAGGGAACAAAAAGGTGTTCTATCTGACTCCATAGATGCCCAGTTCAGGAGACCACATGGCCACTTGACTCCATCCATGGGCCAGGGGGAGTTTACCAAAGAAACAGTAATTTAAAATTCCAGCCTGAGTCTAGATGAGGCAGCCTGTTACCCACGGCAGGGTAATTCTGTTACCAGAGTTCTTTTTCCACTCTTTATCCAGAATGGATACATGTCATTAATCTACATCCCACTTTTGATGTATTGAGTAAATGATTTTGAAGAATTAGTTATTCTGCTATGGTTAGCAGTCTATCCAGAAGGGCAACTGACATAGGGTAAGAAAAGCCTGGAGCAACCCAGTAGGGGAATTCACAGCACTCTGTGTGTGTGTGTGTGTGTGTGTGTGTGTGTGTGTAGAGGCTAGAGGTCAACCTCAAGTGTCACTCCTCAGAAGTTGTTCACCTTAGTTTTTGAAACAGGGTCTCTCACTGGGACCTGGGGCTCACTAAATAGGTTAGGCTGACTGACCAGCAATCTCCAGGGATTTGCCTATCTCTGTCTCCCTAGCACTGGGCTTACAGGCACATACCACTGCACCCAGCTTTTTACATGGGTTCTGGGAATCAAATACAGGTCCTCATGTGTATTCAGCAAGCACTTTACTGCTTGAGCCATCTCAAATCTCTGCTCCCTCCCATGGAAACAGTCACAGCAGCAATCACACCATCTCACAGATTGCTGTGGACATTAAAGAGATCAGGTATGGACAGGATCTAGTCCAGACTCAGAACAAAGTTGGTCCTCCACTAAAATGAGATCCTTGGTAAAGTAATATAATATTTTCATGACTATAAATATACCTAGATGAGTAACACCTGCCTTGGTGTGGCCAAATGGAGAAATGAACTCTGTGTTTACTGATGATTAATTAAACACTGAGACTCCACTCCACCATATTAGAAACAGCAACTGTGTTTCTATCCTCTGTAAGGTCTGAGCAGTTTTCCATTTACAAAGACATAGCATGCTTCCAGAAGCAGGTTGGGCTGGTTTGATTTGCCAGCCTGTGGCCAGCAGACACCTGTAGCTCTGTTGCTTATGCACCTGCAGAGCCAGTCTCCTCTCCTCCCTCTGCAGAATGTCCCAGTAGGTGCTCTGGGGAGGCCGGGTGGGGGGCAGTCGTGGGGAGCAGGGGACAACCTGCTAACTAGAAAAGCAACCCAAATAAATGCCAGACCACAAGGGCAGACAGGGCCCTATGAAAGACAGTCCCCAGGACCCTGGGGGCATTGGAGGTACATGGGTGTCATGAGAAAGGTAACAAAGAAGCAGGTACAGATCAGGTGAGTGCTCCTGGGGCCAACAAGGCAGGCATGGATGGTCAGCCTCCCTGTTCTTTTTTCTTTCTTCTCTTTCTCCTCCTGACTAGAGGAGGCATAGTTATGCAAGGGGAGGTCCAAATTTCACTGAAGGAGGGAAAGGGCCTGGGGTGTGGGTAGGCTGAGGCCCAACATGACCTAAAGTGCCCTCTCTTTCTGACAGCAAGCAAGTGGTGCTGTGTAGGCAATGGCATTCTGGGGTCTCTCAGACCATGCAAAGCAGCAGCCTGCCAAGCAGCTGCTCCTGTGATTAAGAGCTAGAGAAGCCTCATTACCAGCTGGCACAGTCTCCTGCCCTTAGGCCCACTGTCTTTTCACCACTCTAGATGCTATGACAGTTTCTCCAGGACCCTCAAGGTCCCTCCAAAGTGCATCACAAGGATACACCAAAGGGACCTTCCAGGACACTACTGTCCTCATTGGTCAGGGCTAGTTGTGAAATGTTTCCAAGACTGGCCCTAACAGAGGTGGCCCCAAGCCCCAAAAGGAGTTTACCAACTATATCCTTTCCAGGAGGTGGACAGTGGGCTGTGGAGCCAGCCACCTGAACTAGCTGTGTAACCATAACAGGATCCCTGACTTATCTAGCCTCTCTTACAACACAGGGCTAACGGTATGGGAAGTGGCTGAGCCACAAACGCCAATGGTTTGGTTGCTGCCTCTAGTTCAGGCCTCCTGCCCTTACTTTCTATTTTTTTCTGTGACTTTTTCTAGACTCACATATTTCTTCCAAATTCTCAGGCCCAGCAGCCACCACTATCCAGTCCTGTTCTTATGCCCAGCGCATCCATCACACACTGACTTCCAAGACAGCCAGTTCAGTTGATGCCAAAGACATTGAGTTGCTATCTCTAACTAGAGCAAAAGCAATGGAGCCAGGAGCCGCCTGTATCACAACTTCAGTGGGGAGATTGTGAAAACCATCCACAGCCAACGCAAGGGCAGCCAACTGGGCCGTTTCTGGCCCAGTCCATCACCTCCCTTCCCCCACCGAGGACTTCAGGCCCTCCGTGTTTTACTGACTGTGAACTAGGACACTGTCACCACTCAACCAACAAAGCCTCCAAAGGCTGGAGCTAGACATGAACAATGGACTTTCATTCCCTGTCTTCCTCCTGTAGTCATTAAATCACTCACCATATGATGATTTGTGAGAAGATAAACCAAGAATGTACAATGCTGGAGTTAGTTAAGTGGGAGTGATAATTAATGATTAATGAGGACTGCAATGCTTGACACACCACATACCTGCACACCCTAGCACACATTCCTCTACAGCATGTCTTTAAGAACTGGCAGAAACTCTTGCCAGTCCACTTTGAAAACACACAGGAGACAATGCAATAACAACTTGGGGTAGCTGCTCTGAAGCTATGATATTAAAAGTCACTATCTCTACACTATTAGCAGGAAACCACTTGGATTAGAAACACCTTGTTGAAGGTAGCTGTGCTGGGTAGCCCCTGAGCCACAATGGAAGATACCCACCATAACCCCTGGGAGACAAGAGGCCCATGAAATAGGTAACCCTCCCCTGCAACAGGGAACAGGAAACATTCACTTGTCACCAGGCCAATTGGTTACCAAAATAACATACTCCCTGAATAACACAAACAAGCAGGGTTTTCCTGCTTCACCCTAGAAGAGTCAGGTGGCAGGAGAGCAGCTGTCTGACTGTGCATAGCCCCAGTGCCTGTTTCTAACAGCAAGGCAAATCCTGGATGGGAAACAGACAGAGTGACTGAACTGGCAAGGAACCAGAAGAAAACACCCAATCCTTTTCGTACCTATGTCACCTGCCGATGCTCAGCATTAAGAAGACGATGACAGAGGTTAAAATATGCATGCACACATATATACAATTTTAGTTTTCTTATGCATTTGGCAGATTTTCCTTAATTGTTGGATTTGCTTTTAAATGAATGCCTGTATGATGGGAAATTAATTCTGGTACCAAAAAAAGTCATGTGAATATCTGAAAATTGCCAGACGGTGGAATCAAAAAGAGAACTCTTGATCCATCATTTTAAAGCAAACCATAAGGTACAACACTCAGTTTTGCTAACACCACTGTGCCCAATGTTCCAACAGCATTGGAAGGAGGTATGAGATAGGGTGAACCCCATGGTGACTAGGGAAGAGAAGCCAAAGCCATGGGGCTGGGCCACAGGGAAGACTTACTTGGGTGTGCCACTGGGCTTCCAGTACCTACAAAAGAGGTACTGTCCATCTGCATTGACCAGGTGAGGCAGGTCCTGGTATGGGACATTCTGTGGGGTCCGCCTAGGAGAACTTGCCTCAGGCATCCTGGGAAGGTCTTCAAGTCCTTGAAAGAAAAGTAGACACATTCCAAAGTCAGAAATACACTTGCACAGATAGGAAAGGAAAGAAAACCTTGTTCAGAGTCAGGCTTTTTCTAAGCAGTCAGAAAAAAAAAAAAATCAAAAGAACCCACCTCAATTTGATAGTTTTTTTTTAAATCACATGCATTTCTTGCAAACCTCTCTGAGACTGAAAAATTCCCATTTATTCTTAAGAAAATGCTCACTTTTTTTTTAAGTGCCTCATTACAGCTCCCCCCTTCCCATCTGTGTTTATTTTAAATCATTTCAGGAAACTTCATCTTAAAGACTATTTTAGCTGTAATCAAGCGAAAATTATAGTCAGCTATGTGGGTACAAAGACCCAGCTGCAAGACCCATCTCTCCTAAAATCTCCACGGAGCGGATTCCAGGGGGCATAACAACGAGGTGATGGTGACGCTCCTGGTGATTTCTCCCTTCCAAACGCCCAGGATGCCACAACAAACCTGTTTCCATTCCGTCCTGGCTTTCGCATTACACTACCACCACAGCCTCGGGGTGTCACTGCCAGGCGAATAAGGGCTGTTCCCGCATCTCGGCCGCAGGGCAGCACCGCGGGGTTCGCGCCTCCCCGCCTCGCCCCCCACTGGGGTTCCCCGGCTGTAGGGGTGCAGGCTTCTCCCTCCCGACGCTCCAGCGCTAGCTCTGCCACCACTTTCCCAGAACACACCCCTGGAGGGGGTCCGGAAGGGAGGGACACCAGGTCCCCAGTCCGGAGCTGCAAAACGGGCTCTGGCTCCCAGGCACCGCGCATTCGCGCAAATGCGCGCGGGTCCCCGAGCAAAGTCACCCCGATTCTCTGACAAACTTTGTCTGCTGCCCGCCTGCGACCGTTTGGGGAACGGAGCCCGGCGGCTGTCATGGGCATGCCACGGATGACTGGGACCTAGTCGGTGTCCCCGCACCGGGCTGGGAAGATGGAGTGGACTGGCACAAGTCGCTTTAGGGGCTGGTGCGGGGGAGCAGGGGGCGCGCTCACGGTGCAGACACGCGCTCACAGACACGCGCGCACACTGGAGCGCACGCTCACGAGCGCCGGGGACCCCTGGTGGCGGCGCCCATCTGAGTCGGGGGCGGAAGACAGTTACCCGGGGCACGAGCGCCGCTGTCACGTCCCCCGAGCGCCACCGGTCCGGGTCTGCGGCGGGGCCAGAGTCGGAGCACTGCGCGCTGCCGGCTGCGCGGTGATAGGGCGCGGCGTCTGCGCCGCCACTTTATCCCCCGCCGGCTCGGCGGCGGGGGCGGCCCACTGGGTGGGGACGCGCGGGGAGGCGGCGCCGGGCCCACGTGTGCCCGGCCCCGGGGAGGAGCGGGGCGCCGCTCGCTGCCGGGCCACGCGCTCCTCCCCGCCCCAAGCAGCGGCCGCCTGGGGACTGTCACGGGGCCCTGAGTGGAGCTGGGTGCTTCTAGCCCACGCGCATAGGCGCACATAGACTCAGACACAAACACCCGGAGCGGGACGGAATCACAGATACTACAGGCACATGTACAGCCGCACATGTATGCACGACCCACAGTCACATACCACAGGTGTGCACACACCCACAGACACGCAGGAGCACACCCGCGAGACCCTTCAATCGGACACTAACTGCACAGGAACCACACAGAGATAACACAGCAAGCGTGCACACACCCCAGACACTGCACACAGATGCAAACAACACACCACCTGCACACAAACACCATACACACTCAGAAGCGTTAAAGACAGAACGTTCAAACATGCAAATGTGCTTATACATACAGAAAAGGAAACAAACACCACGCACACAGGTGCCTCTATGAAGCCCCTCCCCCTAGGTGCCCCAGGACCCGGGACCCCACCATCACACCCGGCAATGTTCCTGTTGGAGGGTCTGGAACCCAACACTGGATTTAAACAGTCAGGGCACTGTGCCCCATCCTATTCCTCCACTGGCTTTTGTGCTTTAGGTGCTTGGCCTGCCACCTGTGAGTGACAGCTGCAGGCAGGAGTCATCCCTGATCCACCCCCACCCCCACAGGCCTTCCTGAGCTTCCTTTTTTGCGTAGTAGCAGTGTTGGGGAAAAAAATGCTCCTGTTCCCTATAAGCTGGTATCTCGGTGGCCTCAGTGGTGGTGTCCACACACTTGTAGCTGCGGCGCTGTGATCTAACTTGAGAAATGAAACAAAGCCCTTGAGAGGCAGTCTGGTTGGCTTCACTTTCGACCTCAGGCAGGTCTGCAGGGTTTGGACAGAGAGAGAGTGGCTAAATGATTCCTGGAGGAGGTTCTGTGCTTCCCGCAGCAGCCTGGGGGCAAGGAGGTGGGAATGATTTGGATTATGATTTACTGCAAGGAAGGGTCTAGGACTAGGGTCTAGTGCAGCCATCATTCCAAGTGTTCTCGGCTCCAGTGTTTCATGGCTTTAAATGGTTTGAAAGTTTTGAAAATAGAGTTTAAATGGTTTGAGAGTTTCGAGGAGAGAGTTCTCCAGTTGTCAGCAGGCTCTTAGTTGAATCTAGAGCTTCTCCCACTTGAAACACAGATTATAGATAGTTGCTTTGAGCGTGCTCTGCAGACCACGAGTTCAGCGATTAGGGCCTGGGTGTGCACCCATAGTCCTAGCTACTCCAGAGGTGAGACAGGAGGATCCTTTGAAGCCATTGTGTGTTTTTTGACTGTTGACTTTTGAGAGTTCTGAATGTATGCTAGATACTAGTCCTTTGTCAGATATGTAATTGGCAAATATTTTCTCTTGTTTTGTAGCCTCTCTTTCCAGCCTCTTAACAAAAGGGTCACTTGCAAAGCAAAAGCTTTAATTTTGATCCAAATCAAATTTTCAGTGTTTATTTTTATTTATTTTTATATTTTATGAATTATTTTTATTTTATGTGTATGAGTGTATTGCCTGAATGTAAGTGAGTACACCCATGGCGTGCAATGCCATGGATGTCAGAAGAGGGTTTCATATTCCCCTGGAACTAGAGTTAAGGACAGTTGGTAGTTGCCATGTAGGTGCTGGGAATCAAACCCAGGTCCTCTGTAAGAGCATTAAGTGCTCTTAACTGCTGAGCCATCTCTCCAGCCTCTTGGCAGTGTTTTATTTTAATGCCTCATGCTTTTAGTGTGATGTTACAGAGGCCTTTGTCGCTTATAATTAAGGGCTTTCCATGTTTTTTGCTGAAAGTTGCATAGTTTTACATTTTTAGTTTAACCCATTTGAGTTAATCTTGGTTAAAGTGTGAAATTTAGTTCAGAGTTCATTCAGTTGTTCGTTTATATCCAGTTGCTCCAGCAGTTAGCTGTGGGCCATTTTTCTTCCCTTGAATTGCTTTTGAACCTTTGTCAAAATTCTGTTGACCTTCTTGTGTGACTCTATTTCTGGATTCCCTATTCCTCCCCATTGTTTTGTATCTACTTCTCTACCAACACCATGCAGCATGACTCCCAAAGCTATCTAATAAACCTTGAAATTCAGTACACTGCTACCTCCCATTTTATTCTTTCATAAGATTGATTTGGCTATTCTAGGTTCCTTCATCTGTTAATATTTTTTTTGGTTAATGTTGTATATATCTAAAATCTTGCTGAGATTTCTATAGGAAATGCAGTGAACATAACTGACATGTTCACAGTGTTAAAGTCTTTCAATCCATGAACATGGTATATCTCTCCATTTAGTTCTTTATATAGTTTTCAGCATATGGCTTACACATGTATTTTTAGACTTATACCATTATTTCTTTTAAGTAATTGTAAATGTCATGTATTTTAAATTTCCATGTGTGTATGTTAATTTCTAGTGTATGGAGATAAAATTGACTTTCGTTTGCTGCTTGCAATCTGTGACCTTGCTGAACGTAATTATTAGCTATAATGTGGGAGGGCTTGGGTCTTGTTTTATTTGTAGCTTACATGTACCATTGTTTGAAATTAATTTCTTATAGCCAACATGTAATTGGATTTGGATTTATTTTATTTTATGTATTTGTCTGTTTTTGGTGCTGGGAATAAACTTTAAAGGATCTATGGGCTGCAGAAATCCCCTTGGAATGTTTTTATCTCCCTCATCTGTGGGATATCATGCCACTTCTGGCCTCAGCAGTTTCTGATGCTGTCCATGGCCCTCTGAACTTCTCCTGTAGGTAACATCATCTCTCTCATCACTCTCAAGATTTTTTTTTCTGTGTCTTTAATTTTTAGAAGTTTCACTATGTGTCTTGGTGTGGATTTCTTTGGTTTATTTTATTTGGTGTTTGTTCAGCTTCTTGAATCTGAACAAGAGGTTTATGTGCCTTGCTAAATTTCTACATTTTCACATTTTCAGCATTATTTCTTTAAATACAGGCTAAGCCCCACTCTCTTTTCACTTCTCCATCTGGGGCTCTGATGACACGAATACTGGAATTTTTTTCTTTAAAAATATTTTGTAAACTTTTTATTTATTTATTTTTAATTTTATGTGTATGAGTGTTATGCCTGCATGTATGCAAGTGTACCTGTGTCAGGCAGTGCCTGTGGAAGCCTGAAGAGGACATTGGATTCCTGGAACTATAGTTACAGTTGTTAGCTGCCATGCGGGTGCTGGGAACTGAGGCTGGGTCCTCTGCAAGAGCTGGTATTCTTAACCACTAAGCCATCTCTCTGGTTCTGGGACCTAGACATTCTTTTTCTTTTTCTTCTTTTTTTTTTAAACTGAATTTTTGTCTATTTCATATAGAACATCTCAATCTTAATCATCTTTATACCCCCTTCCCCACTGGCACCCTCCCATAGCCCCCCAACTGGAATTCATACATTCTGTCATTTGTCTTAAGGCCTATTGTGTCAAGTTAGTGTCCCCAGATGTCCCTTAGTGCAAGTTCATCCACTGAGGTCTAGTCAGCCTATCTAGAGTCCCTCACTTTAGGAAGATCAGCTCTTCCTCACCCAGCAGTAATCAGTTGCCAGTATTTCTTCAGCTAAGAGTGGGGTCAGCTGTCCATTTCATCAGTTCTATGCTGGGTTTTTGTCTGCCTGAGTTTGCATGGGTCCTGTGCATGCTGACACCACTGCTGTAGGTTCATATGAGCAGGGTCCCAGGATCTTGTAGGACTCTATTTCCATATTGTCATGTACCTCCTCCCTAGCTCTTACAATCTTTTTGCCCACCCTGTTCCACAATGGCCCGGAAGCCCTAGGTGGGTGTAGTTTAATATAGGAATCCTGTCTAAGACCCAGCATTCTGCAGACTCTTAATCTCTACAATTTGGCCATTTGTGACCTTTTGTGTTCCCGGCCCTCTGTTCCATGAGGGGGCTTCATTAATGAGAATTGAGATATTCATTATTGTCTTCTTTATCCCTTGTTCTATGTTCCATGAGTCTTAGGTGTAGAGGTTGTATTGTAGATATGCCACTTAGACTTGGGCAATTCACAGACAATATCTGTGTGTAACCAAACTCTGTTTGGTGCAAAAGAAGCTACTTTGATGAGTGGTGACTGGGATATTTGCCTGTAAATATAAGGCTATATATTTTCCACATAGTAAGAAATACATTAGTTTAGGAATGTGACAGTTGGGGATTTTCTCTAAGATCTACGACTTCTCCAGCCACATGAATTTGGCTATGCTTCCAGTACCAGACACAAGTGTCCTCTCATTGAATGGGCTTTTAATCCAGTTAGGTAGCTGTTGATTGTCTCCAAGATAAAAGTGCCATTACTGAACCAATGGCAGTTTCTGTGCTGGTCACTGATGTGGTTTTTAGGCCTTGCAGCTGGGGTTGGACCATCGATTGATGTTCTCTCTTAGCAGCTTCTATAGAGCTCTCCAAAGCTATGAGAGCTAGCCTTCAGGGGAAGTGGCTTCCAGGTTAGTTCTGGCTCCATTGCTCCAAATCCTGTGTCCAAAGTATGTTCTGTCTTCAGCAATAGGGTCTTACCTTCAAGTTCTGGGAGGCAATCAAGGGCTGTGGCAACAGCC